ACCAGCAGAAACATTAACACCAGCGTCGGAAGCCTCACTTGAATGCGAATCTTTCTTTGTACCACTAGCAGAATCTCCTCCATCCGAGGCTTCAACGGCAGTAATGGGCAGTACTGACCGCAAGGGCACCGTAATCGCCGTTTTATTGCATCCGTCAGGCATGTGGGATCCATTCTCACCCAACACTCCCGACGCCATGCAGCCACCCAGTGCGTTGGTGTCAACGTCCCTCGCATAAACACCGCCGGCAACGCACCACAGCACGCAGAGGGCGCACACCAGCAGCACACGGCCGGTCATCATCATCGCCATCACTCCTGTCACTTGCCTGCAGCCTTCAGCACAAACTAACAACCCGTCAACGCAGAGTGAAAGCAACAAAAGACACGGCACAGTAAAAAACAGCAGCAGCAGCACGCATTTCATGAGAAATATTAAACCAATGAAAGTGAAAAAAGACACAATGCGCTGCAAGTAAAGAAAAGCACAGAAAACAAGGAAAAACAAAATTAAACAGGCAGCAATAAAGTAAAACAGTAAAAACACACAAAAAAGAGCTGCACAGTATGGCTCCAGCGCGCACGCCTCTATTCTCAACAGTGTGTCCACGCAAACAGTTGTGTGCGTGTCGTGCGTATGCGTATGTTTGGGATGCGTTCAACGTGACGGATGTGGCGCACAGCACGGAGCACACAGCAGGGAAGCGAAAGCAAAGGAAGCAAAAACACAATCATCATAATTGCTCTTACTTTATACATCGGACCACAGTGGACGCACACATGTCCCCGTGGCTGAGTGCTGGCACGCACAGCCCGCATGCACCTCTTCAGCCCACAGCGGTGCACGCCAGCGCGGATGCGGCGAGCACCAGCGAGGCACACACCCACGCAGAGCTGCTGAGGCTGCCGTCCACTTCGCGAAGACGTGACGGTGCGCGGGTGGTCGTCGTGGTTGGCGCCTCTGTATTCATGGCCGTATTACTTGGTGCCTCTGGCGCGGTGGTTGTTGTAGTAGTCGTACTCGCAGTTGGTGCGTTTGTCGTAGTCGTCGTTTTTTGCACTGTGGAATCAACTTTTGAAATCGTTGCGGATTTATCCGCAGCACTTGTTTTCGCTGACTGAACAGACGCAACTGATGCATCTTGACTGTTGGCATTCTCATTGGCTTTCGGAACCGCTTTTTCTCCTACTTTGTTATTGTCTTGATCCGTTGGTGTAACGACCCCTGGACCTGGGCCCTCGTTTTTACCTTCTGCCTACCGTCCGTCCCACTTATTCCCGGTTGTGGATCGGAATTCTGAACGGATTGAGTTAGTTTATCGCTACCCTCTGTCACACACACACGGACGGGCAGCAGCACAGGGCGAGCACCAACAGGGCGCACAGCAGACGGCACGTCATCATCGTGAGTGTGGTCGTTCAGTGGTGTGGAGCTGATCTGCACAGTGAGGGACATGGAGAGCAACAGGGGAGACGAGAGGTGCGGCAGACACACACAGAGGGCACACCACATGAGGAGAGGGCAGCAGCCAGGCATGCACCGTACGCCGCACACCACGCACGACACACACTCCAATCCACGGCAGCAGGCACACACACACAGCCCTGCCGCAACACCAACACACAGATGGAAGAGGGAGAAGCAAACAGGAGCGGCACACAAGGCTCCACCGCATGTGCATACGGCGAGAGCGGTCCGTCGTGTCGGCACCCCTCACGGAGGGTACGCACACACACAAGAGGAGGTGCAGCGCACACAGCAACACAAAAGCAAAGTAACAGTAAAAAAGGGGATGATCCCTGCACACCACGCGGATTGTTGGTCCACGGGAAGTGCAGCCAATATTCACCACAAAAACAATTCATTTTTCTTTGGCCTTCGTTCATATTCAGCGCACACCACTTCATGCAGGCACCGCCACCACCACTGCAGCAGCACGCGCAAAAATAAGCGCAGGGAATGGAATAAAGCAGGCAACCATTTATTTGTGTTTCAGTTTGGATGTTGGCAGATGCCTGCATGCGTTGTTCGTTTTGTTTTTGCGGAGGGCAAACCTTCATGCCTGGGTCGTGTGTTGGGGTTCCTGCGGTGTGCACAACTGTTTCTTTTCTCTTGTGAATTTTTATTGTGTTGGTGCAGCCAATAATTCAATTTGCGTTGTTCCTGCTTTCCGCTGGTAAAAGTGCTGCAATAGATGTTTGTTTTTCCTCCTTCGTTGCTGTGGCACCTGATTCCTCACCGTTTATTGCGGTGGAAGTGAAAATATGTGGGTGGACTCCCACACACCAGAACGCACCTTCGCTCCTATTTATTGCTGCACAGAAGGGCATGTGTGTTTGGCGGTGCCTCGACCACATATTCCTCTGGGCGTACATTCCCCTGCAGGCTGAGGGCGGATGACGCTCCGTCGCGGTGCACTTCTCTCGCATGCCGCCCACTGTGGTTCATCATGCATCACCCTCTCACACATACCGTGGTGCCACACCGTCGATATTACTGCAGCCGCTGTGATTCCGCGTATTTCACGCATTTGATTGTGCCACAATACATCCGCTCGTGTGGCCGCCGCATCCAAACAGCGGTGCCCAACACCGTGAGCGGCAGTCCACATCCTTGCATGTCCCAACGCAGTGGTGTTTGACTGTCAGCCAGGCGTCAGACAACAGGAGAGTCTTGTGCTGGCAGTACAACACACGGAGCTGCAGTGAATGACTCGGGCGGGGACGCATCCATTTGTCGCAAGGCAGTGAAAAGGAGTCGGGCAAAATAATGCCGGCTGCATTCACGACACCACATCCACAGCCAAAGCATGCGACGTGATGTGTGTTTCACTGGTGCTGTGAAATGCCTGCAGACGACGTCACTAGTGGAGGCATGCCACCCATGATCAGCGGACAGACAATAATCGGCATGGGAGGCCACAAAAGGCAGCAACGACGCCAGCAGCAGGAGCAGCTCTCTCTGTTGCCTCCGAGAAGCAAATATTCCACCAGCCACAGCTGACAGTGCCATCGTGACGCTCCATGCACGTCGTGGCTGCGTCAACACATCCTGTTCCCTGCAGCGCCTCAAAAGATGCCTCACTCCGTCCACTAAGTGCATCGATGTGGGCGGTGCCTGGGCTGTTCGTGAGGACCACAACGATGCGAGGGTCACCGAGTCGCAGCATGTTTGTTGTGACGTTGTTGCATGGCACCTGCACACACACACGCAGCGCCTGCATTCCTCTCTTTTGTGTCCGCCCTCCGCCGGAGTGGTCACACACACGGGCAGCAGTAAAATCACTTCACCCTCGATGACACAAAATCAACACAGACATCCCTCGCGACGCAAAGATCTCAGTTGCCAGCACGGGCCTCCTGCCGCTCTGCCATCGACGCTGAAACACGGCACAGTGCACGCACTTATTTCCCTCGTGTGCAGTCAGCCGTTTGCTTCACACATTCTTCGATGGGCTGACGTCCACAAATGCACGCCACAAATGCCACGGTGATCGCACACGCTCTTGCGATGAGCGTCGGTGTGTGCATGGATCCGCTGCTCACACGTGCTGGCAGGCAGCCCGCAGCCGGTGCCCTCGTGCCAGCTCATCGGCTCCAGCACGGAAAAGAGAAAATGGCCTATTCCCGATGCACTTATTCCCGCCAGCAGCACCAACACGCTGGTCGCCAGCCGTCATTCCTCAGCACATCCAGGAATGCTGAAAAGTGACGTGGAGCTGCCAGCCAGCAACGCCACAATCCCCGCACACATGTCGGCTCCACCAGAGAAAACACAAATTACAAGCGACACCCCTCACATGTCATCCGAACGTCATTCCGACACACCGCGACACGCCAAACAGAAGTATTCGTCACTCCATGCACCTTCCCACACAATCAAATAGTCCAAGCACCACGCACGGCAGCAGCCCACACGCGGTCAAACAAATGTTCTTCACATCAGTGTTGCCCACGTGCTGCAGTGAGAAGTAAACAAAAGAGACGAGCCGCCAAACCCCAAAAGAGTGCCGCGACTGGCCGCAAGTCAACGGAACGCAGCCACTCAAATGAATTCAGTCCTAATGCCCTCGGCCTCCCACCTTCCCCAACAAAAGCTGCAAAAGACGCAGATCAAACACCCCGTCAAATAAAGTCGCTGTGCAACAACAAGTGAAGCCGCAGTGCCTCCTGCTGTCATCCGGGACCGTTGTGGACACCTTCACGGGAACAGACACCCACCGGATATTACGAACGGCGCTGTACACCTGCGACGCATCCGACGCTTTGGGAGGCACGTGCCTCACTATCACCAGAGACGCCCACGCGCCGTCGGACGCCCCACACAACCAATGACGCAAGTATACGTCAGAGTGACAACGAGGCATCCGCTAGCAATCACACCGCAGGCATCATCGCAAGCAGCACCAGCAGCGCTGCAGTCAACTGTGGGGTGCCATGGACCAACTGACGCCTGACGTATGTAGAAGAAAGAGCGTGGCGGCTTTAGAAGGATACGAGTAGCTAACACTTCCTTAACAGGATGAAAACAGTATGGAAACAATAAGAAAAATTCAGGCGTCCACAGTCAAAGCAAACCGCCGATCAAAGAAAAACATAATGGATGCACTCAAACACAACACAAGTAAAACAATACAAAAAAACAAAAACAAAAAGCCGAAGCGTGGGACGACCAGCGCACACACTCTCATTACTCCCGTAAAGCAAAACACACACACAGAGGGAGAGAGAGAGAGGTCGCCCACTCAATGCAATGGAAACAAAACAGAAACAGTTACGGTGCTCCGCCCACGCAGCCAGTCAGGACGGCAGCGGTGCGTGTCGTGCAAAAGAGAGCACCAACGGGCCTGCATGGGTGTGCATGCATATATACAATGGGCACATTATTGTGTGTGCCTCGTGGGGTGAGGTGAGGTCGAGAGTCCATCCAAGGGGACACACACACAGAGAGAGAAGGACGAGTGTGTGTGCGGGCGGTGCACGGCTCTCTCTCCCTCACTCTCACGCGGCCACAACCGCAGCAGCAGCCGCACACGCAACAACAAGAAGAAGAGGCAAAAGGGAGGAGGTGGCGTGGGAGGCCGCGGTGCTGCCGTCACTGTCGCCTGTATTTGCGGTGGCATTTGTACGAAGGGCGTTTTTATCTTTCGCGGATTCTTCGCCACTTTCCGCGGGGTGTTCATGCCGTTGGTGTTGTTGGACTTGTGTTTCATCACTTTGCTGCTGCATTTCATTTTCCTCTTCCTCTTCTTTTTTTTCCTGTCCTTTGTGTCCAGTGCCGGATGTCGTCCCTGCCGGTCCTTCGGGAGGCGAGGAGTTGTGAGCCGCTGCTGCAGCAGGCGTCTGATTTCCTGTTTGAGAGTCCCCTGTTGTGTCAGATAAATTACTGCCTGGGGACCCCGCTTTACCATCACTGCTGCCAGCAGGAGGATCAACACCAGGAGGAGCATCTGAAGGAAGAGCAACAGCCGGACCAGCAGGAGAAACAGGAGGAGGAGCGGGAGCAGCTGCAGGAGCAGAAGAAACGCTGCCGGTGCCATCACCGCCAGTAGAACCATCACCAGAACCGCCTCCACCGCCTCCACCAGCAGAAGAAACGTCACCGGTGCCTTGATCTCCAGTAGGAGTTCCACTGCTTCCTCCAGAACCAGAACTGACTCCACCGCCGGAACCACCATCAGGAGAAGAACCAGCAGAAGCACCAGGAGGAGCAACAGCTCCAGAAGAATCACCAGAAGAAGCAGCAGAACCTCCAGCAACACCACCAGGACCAGGTCCACCAGCAGAGACAGAACCATTAGAAGCACCAGCGTTGGAAGTCCCACTTGAATTCGACCTGTTCCGTGTTTCAACAGAACCACCTCCAGTCGAGGCTTCGACGGCAGTAATGGGCAATACTGACCGCAAAGGCACCGTAAACGCAGTTTTATTGCATCCGTCAGGCATGTGGAATCCATTCTCACCCAACACTCCCGACGCCATGCAGCCACCCAGTGCGTTGGTGTCAACGTCCCTCGCATAAACACCGCCGGCAACGCACCACAGCACGCAGAGGGCACACACCAGCAGCACACGGCCAGTCATCATCATCGCCATCACTCCTGTCACTTGCGTGTAGCCTTCAGCACAAACTAACCCCCGTCAACGCAAAAAGCAAAAGGAGAAAAGTCATTCAACCACGCACCGTCCCATCCAGCAATGAGAGTCACACACAACAACAACAACAATTGGGTGGGCGCGGTTCAACAACAATCAAAACAAAAGAGGGGCGCTCCTCGCCCGTGCACCGTTCCTCACACTCCCACAGTCACCACTACTGTTATTCCCTCTCTCCTCAGTCCCTCACAGGCACGCCACGCTCACTCCAACACGCGCCCCTCACAGCACAGGCAGTCCGTCATGCGTTCCCGCTGCGCCGCAACGTCGTGCCGCCTTCCACAATCATGAGCGCAACGCCCAACGCGTACTGGCGCACGTGCTCCATGCGCCGCAACCACACGCGGATCAGGTTGGCCGTCATGCACTGCATCTCGTTGTCCTCCTTCTGCTTGGAGCAGACCCTCACACCTTCTCAATCCACAGCCTGGGAACTGCGAGAGGCGGCCGAGTGGTGCCACGTGTCTGAAGATCCAAATGTACGGAAACAACGGCCACCCTCACTCCCGCACACATCTCCACTCCCTTCACTGTCCCACACACAAGGGCGGTGTCATGTGGAAGAGAAGCCCGTTGCACAGCACATGCATAAGGCATATGCGGAGAGAACGCCATCGACGTCGCACCGCACGATATAGCCGTGCGCACAGCACAAACACGGCGGCAAAGAGAGGGACGGGCACATACAAGTAAATACCGCAGTCCTTCACTTCTCCCTTCAACGGCGGGTTGGCGTTGCGTCCCACACCCACAAATGAGGCACGGCGCACACAGTCCGCTCCCCTCCGAGTGCACTCAGCAGGCCGCCGCCCAGTCACCCTCCTGCCATCGTAACGGGGAACACAAACAATCGCCGTCGCGGACCATCGGTGCCACTGGCAGAAAAGAAGAAGTGGGGGCATTTCAACAGCGCAGCCAGCAGAGGTACAGTCAACGGGACAAGTAGACACACAGTGACAGTGGATACGGTAACAATGGAAGCACGCTGCAGTGAGTTACCAAAGAAAAGGAAAAAGTGAGAGTCCGGCATGACCCTCAAAAGAAACAATTAGGAAAATAGATTAGGTCGTAATTTTATTTCATGCGCCATGCAACGCAATAAAAACGACCGGGTGCATACATTTTTCCCGCACAAGAAACGGAAAGTAAGAAGAAAAAAAAATCGTACTCTTCCACGAGCCCACACAACATCCCTCACATTTCATTGCGGCATCCGGCCTGTCTCTCCAATCCTCCTTTCGTGCAGTCCGTGGGACGCGCAGCCGCAGGGCCGGCACCGCGTGTGGGCAACAGAAAAACAAGAGGAGAAGCACGTCACCCATGACAGTGTGCAGCAACCGACCATTAAATAAAGGAACAGCAAGGATGCTTATCATTCCAGGAAGGCAACAAAGCCAACAGTAAAATGTAAATAATAAAAGAAAACACGCAGGGAACGCGGCACATGTTCTCCGCGAGGAGTCGCAATTCCACACTCTTCGGCTCACAATACCGCCACAACTCCGCACAATCCAAGAAGAAGCAGCAACACCCAATACACGCACACACGCACAGTGCTGCCAACAGTTAACTCTCGCAGTGTCAATTTCGCGTCGTTGAGCGGGGCAAAGCAGTCGTGTAGACCCACACCGTTTCCGGAATACTGCGCGGTGAATTCTCGCAATTGGGGCTCTCGTGCCCAGAGTCATTGCGTTGAGTCAATCCGCCCGCATCACCCTCACCAAAAAATCCACTGCCTGCAACGCCATTTCCTGAAACGAGAGATTTGTGTCCAGTGGCGCTGCGCTCACTCACCTCGTCCGTGTTATCCGCAGCAACGTGTTCCCTGCCGCCATAAGTGACAGACATGATCCCGGATGCATTCGACGCCACTACTATTCTCGGACCGTTGGCAAAGGAAGGCCTCTTCTTGGATGCATTCGGGACCATCACTTCGTTCGGATTGCTGGCAAACTCAGGCCTCGTCTCGGACGTGTTGGTCGCCGTGTTGGATGCGGGACTCGGATCGACGGTGTTGGGTCCGTCAGCCGCCGCAGACCGTCGCCGATCCTCGTGTTGACGTGACGGCTCAGCATTCACTTGCGGCGCAGTTGTCCCACCAGATTTTGTGTCATCCCTCCCTTCACGGGGCGGCGGCAACTGACAGATGCCCGTCTGGTCAGCATCGCCGCTCCGTGCAGGCGGATGGATGGTTCCATCGGGGGAAAATTGACGCCACCACAATTCATAAGGGCCGGCGTATTTATGCGCCGTCACATTCATCGTGAAGGCAACGGTGGCCCCTTCCTCTTCCGCTGCACAGCTGGCAGCACAGTTGCTACATGTGTGCACCGCATGGGCCACATGGCACACAGCACCCAGCTCACCATTCCTGCCATGCATGCGCACATCAAAGCCACTGAAAGTGTAATTCTCACACTCAGCCCCAGCACTGGCAGCAGAACACTTCTTCCACGCCCACACACACACACGCGATAGCTCAGGCTGCCGTCACTCGGAGCACACGACACATCCACCGGCACAACCACCGCATCCGCATCACCAGATACATCTCCAGCACTCCCAGCAGCCGTCACGCACACGGACGAGCAGCAGCAGCACAAGAGCGCAACTGCCAGCATGCACTGCAAAAGAAGCAATCAAATCCACTGCAATGTGTATGTTATTTGTGTGTGGTTGTGTGCCTGCAGAAACACAAAACAAAACAAAAAAAAACAGCGACCAGAGCATGTGGAGAGACGCACAAAAATGTACAGCGGAGGTGCGTGGCGGAAACAACAACAAGAAGACCGCTCAAACTCATGACTGCACTGCAGCCCAAGCAATGGCAATTCACACAAGATTTATTTAAAAACCAAAAACAAAAAAAAACTTTCCCCTTCGTCTTAAATAAACCCCATCACACAAAATAATTATAAATAAAAAAGAGAAGTCGTCCATTACTGTCCCACACAAATTTAAACAATCGCCTGGCTGCCGTGTGGCCACACCAAACTGTCTGCATTTATTTTGCCCGCAAAAGAAAATTAAAAGATATTTAAATGTCTTTCAACCGTCCGACCCTCCGCGTGTCCGCACATCGTTTATATTTCATGCGGTCATCTGCGTGTTGCTGCTCCCCTCAGCCCTCTCATCGGCGCGTGAGTGCGGCCCGCAGAGCACAGTCACTCGTGTGTGTGTGGACTGAGAGAAGCACGCAGACATGACGGGAGTCGCGTCACTCCATCGGGAGAGTGAGCGCAGCAAAAGAAAAGAAATCATCGGAGGGAAAAGAAATGCTCACGAGGCCGACACCGAAGGGACTGCCGGCGCGAGAAATGCACACGCAAAGCAAAAAAAAATTACTTTAAAGGAAAACACGGCGGCAGGGTGTGGCTGTGTGTGTGTGTGTGGCGCTGCGGGTGTCTGCCAGCCCTGGCCGCAAACAAAACAAAACAGGAGGGAAGAAATGTGTGCGCCGCCCCACAGGCCCTCGTCGCACGCCCACACGTCACGGCTCCCTCAGCGCGCCGTTCGTCGCGGCCCCTCCCCATGCGTGCAGCAGGCGAGGCGCACATGGCCGTCGTCGTGAGCGTGTCGGTGGGTGTGCGAGTGGAGCAGTTGGGCGGAAACACACGGCACCCTCGCAGGAAGAGTGCAGCAACAAACAATTAAAAGAGGGAAGAGTAGAAAAGAAAAACGTCCACAGTGACTGCCCCAAAAGCAAAAAAAAAAAGGAATGGTTTAGTAAAATAGAAAAACGCACATAGAGGAAGCAAATTAAAAAAAGCAAATTAAAAAAATTAAATTTACAAAACAAAAAAAACATTTACAGTTACAGTGCTCCGCCCATGCAGCCAGGCAGGACGGCAGCGGTGCGTGTGCTGCAAAAGAGAGCACCAGCGGGCCTGCATGGGTGTGCATGCACATATACAATGGACACATTATGTGTGTGCCTCGTGGGGTGAGGTGAGGGCGAGAGTCCATGCAAGGGGACACACACACACAGAGAGAGAAGGAAGAGTGTGTGTGCGGGCGGTGCACGGCTCTCTCTCCCTCACTCTCACGCGGCCACCACCGCAGCAGCCGCCGCACACGCAACAACAAGAAGAGGAAAAAGAGGGGAGGTGGTGTGGGAGACCGCGGTGCTGCCGTCACTGTCGCCTGTATTTGCGGTGGCATTTGTACAAAGGGCGTTTTTATCTTTCGCGGATTCTTCGCCGTTTTCCGCGGGGTGTTCATGCTCTTGTTGTTGGACTTGTGCTTCATCACTCTGCTGCTGATTTTCATTTTCTTCTTCTTTCTCTTCTTCTTCTTCTTTTTCCTGTCCTTTGTGTCCATTGCCGGATGTCGTTCCTGCCGGTCCTTCAGCTGGCGTGGAGTTGTTAGCCTCTGCAGCAGCAGGCGTCTGATCTCCTGTTGGAGATTCTCCTGTTGGAGATTCTCCTGTTGTGTTAGATGAATTAGTGCCTGAGGACCCCGCTTCACCATCACTGCCGCTAGCTGAAGGGTCAACACCAGTAGCATCAGTAGGGGCGGAAGGACCACCAGAATGACCAGGAGCAGAAGGAGGAGCAGCAGGAGCAGGAGCGGGAACAGCAGAAGGACCAGAAGAAACGCTGCCGGTGCCATGACCATCAGTAGAAGTTCCACTGCCACCACCACCAGAACCGCCTTTTTCACCAGCAGCAGAACCACCATCAGAATCTCCACCACGAGGAACACCAGTGTCGGAAGTCTTCATTGAATGCGAATTGTTCTGGATACCACCAGCGTCGGAAGTCTCACTTGAAATCGAATTCTTCTGTGTACCACCAGAACCTCCAGCATCACCAGGACCAGGTCCACCAGAAGCACCAGTAGCACCAGCAGAACCACCTTTTCCAGCCGAGGCTTCGACGGCAGTAATGGGCAGTACTGACCGCAAAGGCACCGTAATCGCAGTTTTATTACATCCGTCAGGCATGTGGGATCCGTTCTCACCCAACACTCCCGACGCCATGCAGCCACCCAGTGCGTTGGTGTCAACGTCCCTCGCATGAACACCGCCGGCAACGCACCACAGCACGCAGAGGGCACACACCAGCAGCACACGGCCGGTCATCATCATCGCCATCACTCCTGTCACTTGCGTGTAGCCTTCAGCACAAACTAACCCCCCGTCAACGCAGAGTGAAAGCAACAAAAGACACGGCACAGTAAAATACAGTAGCAGCAGGAGCACGCATTTCATGAGAAATATTGAACCAATGAAAGTGAAAAAAGACACAATGCGCTGCAAGTAAAGAAAAGCACAGAAAACAAGGAAAAACAAAAGTGAACAGGCAGCAATAAAGCAAAACAGTAAAAACACACACAAAAAAGAGCTGCACAGTATGGCTCCAGCGCGCACGCCTCTATCCTCAACAGTGTGTCCACGCAAACAGTTGTGTGCGTGTCGTGCGTATGCGTATGTTTGGGATGCGTTCAACGTGACGGATGTGGCGCACAGCACGGAGCACACAGCAGGGAAGCGAAAGCAAAGGAAGCAAAAACACAATCATCATAATTGCTCTTACTTTATGCATCGAACCACAGTGGACGCGCACATGTCACCGCGGTTGAGTGCTGGCACGCACAGCCCGCATACACCTCTTCAGCCCACAGCGATGCACGCCAGCGCGGATGCGGCGAGCACCAGCGGGGCACACACCCACGCAGAGCTGCTGAGGCTGCCGTCCATTTCGCGAAGACGTGACGGTGCGCGGGTGGTCGTCGTGGTTGGCGCCTCTGTATTTATGGCCGTAGTACTTGGTGCCTCTGGCGCGGTGGTTGTTGTAGTAGTCGTACTTGCAGTTGGTGCGTTTGTCGTAGTCGTCGTTTTTTGCACTGTGGAATCAACTTTTGAAATCGTTGCGGACTTATCCGCAGCACTTGTTTTCGCTGACTGAACAGACGCAACTGGTGCATCTTGACTGTTGGCATTCTCATTGGCTTTCGGAAACGTTTTTTCTCCTACTTTGTTATTGTCTTGATCCGTTGGTGTAACGACCCCTGGACCTGGGCCCTCGTTTTTACCTTCTGCCTGCCGTCCGCCCCACTTATTCCCGGTTGTGGATCGGAATTCTGAACGGATTGAGCTGGTTTATCGCTACCCTCTGCCACACACACGGACGGGCGGCAGCACAGGGCAAGCACCAACAGGGCGCACAGCAGACGCCACGTCGTCATCGTGAGTGTGGCCGTTCAGTGGTGTGGAGCTTATCTGCACAGCGAGTGGCATGGAGAGCAACAGGGAGACGAGAGGTGCGGCAGACACACACAGAGGGCACACCACATGAGGAGAGGGCAGCAGCCAGGCATGCACCGTACGCCGCACACCACGCACGACACACACTCCAATCCACGGCGGCAGGCACACACACACACACAGTCCTGCCGCAACACCAACACACAGATGGAGGAGGGAGAAGCAAACAGGAGCGGCACACAAGGCTCCACCGCACGCACATACGGCGAGAGCGGTCCGTCGCGTCGGCACCCCTCACGGAGGGTACGCACACACACAAGAGAATAGATGCAGCGCACACAGCAGCACAAAAGCAAAGTAACAGCAAAAAAGGAATGATCCCCGCACACCACGTGGATCGTTGGTCCACGGGAAGCGCAGCCAATATTCATCACAAAAACAATTCAGTTGACTTTGGCCTTCGTTCATATTCAGCGCACTCCACTTCATGCAGGCACCGCCACCACCACTGCAGCAGCAGCAGCACGCATACGAGACAATAAGACGCAAAGGATGGGAGGTGGTGTGGGAGACCGCGGTGGAGCTGTCGCTGTCGGCGGTGGTCGCTCTTCCTTCGTCATTTTTAGTGACTGATGTTGTTGTGAATTCTTCCTGCTGTTTGACTGGGAGTGATGTGAAAAAGAATTGCTTCCCTGGCAGTCATTTGATTCCTCTCCTGCCCCGTCGATTTCTGTGCTCGCCGCTGGAGTCGGCGGGACGCTGACAGGGCTGCCAGCACCATCTGACTGAACCTGGTCTGCTGTGTTCTCGTCCCCATTCCCACTGCACCAGCTGCTGGGGGCGGTGCAGCGGTCATCCCAGAAGTACCAGCAATGGGCTGCGGTGTCGGCCGCATCAATCAATGGATGTGTCCGAAAGCCACAGGAACTTGCATCGACAGGGAAGCCTGCACCGACACTCGGGGATGGGGAACAATGACGGCAAACAGAACAGCGCATGCCACCTAGGAAAATCCGCAAGTCGTATTGGCGCGGGCTGCGTCGTGTTTTAGCGGCGACGGAAATGAATGACGGTGCGAGTGGCGTTCTCGTCGTGCGTCCCCTCCGGCCACTCCTCGCAGTAAACCCATTGCCTGAGCACATTTGATTCCGCCGGAGAGACCAATTAAAAATGTTCTTTCCTCTAAATGTGTTGTGCTCGCATGTGGCGACGGCCGCCCGCAATGCCTCCAGCGGATACACCTGCGATGCACGGTCAACACATTCCACATCCACTCGTCGTGCACCATCCAACACCATCTTTCCCTTGGAGCCATGAACAACACCGGGCACACACTCCTTTTCGGCCGTCCACGGCATGCGCCTGCGGTGAGAATCCGGAGAAAGTCCCATTCCTTTTGTGCACAAAGTCATGGAGCTGCCACCGTTGCGTGCGTCCCCGCGAAGAAAACAACAGCCCGCCGCAGCACTCACGAATGCCCACCCGTTGCCTCCTCTGCAAAAAAAAAATAAACATTGGAGGGAAAAGCGTGCACAAATGCCCCGGCGAAAAAAGTCAGCATCAGTGGATGAACACTGAAGCCGTGGGTGCATGCTCCACAAATGTCCTTCCTTTTTTAACCGCCTTCTTAGTGGCAGAGAAACGACTTGCAACCGCACACACAAGAAAACAAAAGCAAAAGGCAAGCAGCGCAGCCGTCCAAACACACACACGCGCATCGTATGAAACACTTCTTGGAGAGGAACTGAATGCAGGAAGAAGCGCACACAATCCCCATGGACACCCGCAATCGTGTGTGGTTGCATATTTTCCACTCTTCGACCCTCGATGCGTTCCTGTGCGTGTCTCGCCAGTGAGTCACAGTGCCGTAGGATGCCAAGTCCCTGCACAAACACACCTCAGGACGCGGCAGCGAGGGTTCCCCAATAAACACCCCACGGCCATACCTTTTGGATATCTCATGGACCTAGTGCCTCTCGCTGCAGGCCAAACCACCCAAAACAAGCAGCACAATGCGCTGCGGAGTTGTGAGGGCAATCATCCCACCACCGCCACCCAGATCAGGATGATTCTCCCATTTGCCACCACACCCTTGAAATGGCCCGGCGGTTTTTTCATGTTTCTCCACTGTTTTGGCCACCACTCGCGCCATTTGGCCCCATCGCACGATCGCGCTGCACCGATGCCAACGACAGCTCAACCCGCAGCGTCCTATTCCTGTCCGTCTCCATCATCATACAGGCATGCTTCTGAAAGGGATCCCTGTCCGTCACGGCGTTGCTCGCAGAGGCACTCGTGCTCCGTCCGCCCTGCGCCGACGCCGTGCTGTATCGTTGCACGCTCCCGGCCCTCCTCATCACATGCTCAAGGTTCGCAGACAAATGGGCTTCCGGTGTCAGTCTACCGTCTCGGATCAGCTGCTGCTTCTTGGCCTAATTCAACTCGTCGGTGCTGCTCGCAGTCACAAGCAACAGGAGAAGACGCAGACGCACTGGCCTGGGCATCGCGGCATCCCTCTTCAGGTGCCGCACGCCATCCAGGTTTTTCCTGAAGGGTTTGCGCCCAACGGGGATGTTTTGTTCCACCTCGCACACCTCCGCCAGTTGCTTCTCCCGGTACTGCGCCACAAGCCTCGCGCAAATGTCGATGTGCAGCGACAGTCTGGTTTGCCTCTCCAGAAACTCCGGCGGAGACCGCACCGCACTGCCCAACTCCGCAAGATTGGCCTTCGGCTCCACGCCATGCGCCAATCCCGGGTGATACGCGTGGAGTGTTTTCAGCGCTACCGAAAGCTCCTCCACGCACTGCGCAAGAAAACAATGACGGTACTAGCGCCGGTACACTTCTTCCCCATCAATTACTGCCGCTTCGAGCCCACACCCAGACGATTCCTACAGGTCTGCTCATACACTTTCTTCTCCAGCGGCATCAGGTCATCAAGCAGACACTGACATGTGCGTTGGTGCATCAGCGGCGTCACCATGGCACAGCTTCAATCAAAGATGATCCGCACCGGGTTGCCGCGGCTGTCGGCGCCCCTAAGTGAAATCCGGCTCGTCGTGGCAGAGCCTGGCAAGCCCATTGCAGATGCTGCCACTGTTTTGGTGGCGAATGCCGGGCACACCATTGTTCATGGCGTGAAAAGCCGCCACAGGACGTGGCGCCGTAACGTCCAAAACCGACCATCAATTCGGAGGCGACAGCAGCTGAGAAACCCATTCTGCATGCTGAGGTGGAAAACCAGCACCTCACGGGCGGCGAATTCTAACATAACGTCCTTGGAACACATCGCCCTCGGCGCTATCCGAGCCCACGCGAGTTGCTAAGGGTGGCGATGCGGGGTGCACCCCAGCGCAAAGATGTTTGCATCCCTGTACGGGACCGTTGCAATCCAATCCTCAGCCACGCGGCTCACAGACGCATCCTCCACGGCAAAAAAGTAGCGCGCAGGGCTACTGATAACCGGCTGCCGCGGCGTCATGAGGTCCTCGAGCAGCGTCACGCCGTGCTCCATGAGGTCATGGAGACGCAGTGAGCAGCTCAGCACAGCCGCAGCATGGGCATCGCAGAAAAAACTTTAAACTATCCATGAAAGGCGTCGAGCATCTGATGGAACATATGATCCCGCGCACAACCACAAACGCCATTGCTGGGCTCACGCGGCTTCCCTTCTTCCGTCGGCCTTGCTCGCACCAACCCGCCTCGCATAATATGTCAAGCACAAGTCACACAGACAATGTGCTTCGATATGCGTGTGTGTCTTGTGTGCGCACATTCACTCGCACCGCTTTTTGTGTGCGTCTCAGAAAACCCAACAAGCACACAAGCAATGCCATACTACCATCTGGTGGCCCCAACATCGGCAACCAACACAAGAAGAGCTGTGGGCATCGTAGATACCACCAATTCCAAACACAAAGTCAAACGGAGTGGGCACAGCACATGCATATGGAGAACGACATCCATTGAAATAGATGTTTTTCTATTGGGCTTCCAGTGCTGGGTGCAGGCCGCGCAGGAGGAAGCGCAGTCGCCTCGCAGCGCAACGCCGACCACACCGCAAATCGATAGAGTGTTGCCACGGCGGCGGCAGAGGCAAACAGAAGAAGCAGCGGACAGGGACAAGCAGCAGCAGCAGTGTCATCACCGGGAGTCGGGGACGGGCCTGCTCGCCGTCCGTCTCGCTGCTTCGATCCTTGCCGCCGAGAGAAGATTCTCGCGGTCTGTCGGAGCATCCTGGCCGGATCCACTTCTCCTCTGGCGACGGATGCTTCTGGGGAACAGCCGTGTCGACATCCTTCGGTGGTGTACCGTGGTCGGTCTCAATGCTCTCCGTAACGGGGACGGATGCCCGTAGCAAAGCTTGTTCAGTAGATGCCGGTGAAACCGTCCTGCTCCACACGCCCTCTCTCCTCGCCGTCCCACGGAACCACTGGAAGTAGGCTGCCGCTGGTGGCGGATATCGTGCACACCTCCGCGTGGTCACGGCAAATGGCGTTTCCCTCATCGTAGGGCCGAGTGGCCCAAGCAATCGTCGCCCCGTCCGTGCATGGGCACAACGGACGTTACCCTATTTAGTCACTTCCAGATGCACCTGCATGCCGAGACACTTCAATGCCGCATGCATGGCAGCACCGAGATGTATGTTTCTTCCGGGTCCCTCGCATCCGTCGTGTTGGTGGGAAGCGTGTCCAGAAACCACGAAGAGGACCCATCCCCAGGCATCGCAGACAAACGTTCTCCCCTCCCAAATAACAGCGTCAGCACCATTTCTCACATCCAGTGCGGGATCAGTGATGGGGCAACTGTCCATCGGGCGTTTGGCTGAGCTTTCATGGATAATTAGTCTACACGGCAACCAATGGAATACCGTCCCGTCGCGCAGCATCTGACAGGAACGCCCAATGCTCAGAGCATGTGGGAATATTCACTCATGTTCAGTGCGGAGCACTTCCTCTGCAGCAGCCGGCGCCCCCAATCGGTGCCATCCACTCATCCCTCGCGTGGCACCGCCACCAGTGCGACTCCAGCGTCCTCCCGTCCCCATCTTCATCCTGCAGCTCCATGCCATCAATGTCGTCGCAGTCGTGGTGCTCCCTCGCAGCCATCGCGGCATTCGCTGAGTGCACCACCACCGACAGCGCTCTGCCGCGCACACCAATAGCATTCCTCACCACGCTGTGGCTTGCCGTGTGCGGGCAGTTAAACCCGAGAGCATGGGCCAACAGGTGCGCGGCGATGCGTCCGTGAAATAAAACTGACGGGCAAATTGCATGGCGCCAGCGACATGATGGCCATCCTCTAGCGTGGCGCACCGCAGTGCCCACACACCACCAGCGCCGCAGCCACGCACTGCGCCGTGTCAGAATTGGGAACACCAGTGGAAGGATGCTCAGCAGGCACCGTGAACCGACTGCAAACGCTTCCCGTGGCAAATGGGACGCAGTCAGCGGACCCTCCAGTGCCTGCACGAGCAGACGATCCGCATGCAGTTTGAAAGCAGCAGGGACAGTCTCCTCGGCAAGGAGGTTCCCGTGCGCAAAGGTCAAAGCACCGTTCTTAGAGCCAAACGCGCCGTCCAAAGAATTTACTGTGCAACGCCAAAAGAAGACGCAGTGACTCCTGCTGTCACACGGGTCCGTTGTTGACGCCTTAATGCCTATGGGCACCCATCGGTCTTTCCAAACAAAGCTCCAGACCTGCAACGCATCCTCCGCCCTGAGATGCATTCTCCCCACCGTAAACAAGATAAACCTCGCCGTCGGAGGAGACCACATCGTCAAGGAATCAGGAATACTTCAGGGAGACAACAAAGCAACCGCTGAAAATCACATCGCAGATATCATCGCAAAGAGAAGAAACAGCGCTAGAGGCCGTGGGGTGGCGTCGATCAATTGAAGCATGGCGTATTTCAAAGAAAAGCCAATTGGCTTGAAAAGATTTAAAGAGACTGACACTCTCAGAAGAATAGAAACAACATGAAACAAAAAAAAAGATTCAAGTCCCCCAAGTTAAACCAAACTGCCAATCGAAAAAGTGTGGAATGGGTGCACTCAACCACAAAACAAGTAAAACAGTACAAAAAAAAAGCGTGGGACGACCAGCGCACACACTCTCATTACTCCCGTAAAGCAACACACACACACACAGAGGGAGAGAGAGAGAGGTCGCCCACTCAATGCAATGGAAACAAAACAGAAACAGTTACGGTGCTCCGCCCATGCAGCCAGGCAGGACGGCAGCGGTGCGTGTCGTGCAAAAGAGAGCACCAACGGGCCTGCATGGGTGTGCATGCATATATACAATGGGCACATTATTGTGTGTGCCTCGTGGGGTGAGGTGAGGGCGAGAGTCCATGCAAGGGGACACACACAGAGAGAGAAGGACGAGTGTGTGCGGGCGGTGCACGGCTCTCTCACACTCACTCTCACGCGGCCACCACCGCAGCAGCAGCCGCACACGCAAAAAGAAGACGAGGCAAAAGAGAGGTGGTGTGGGAGACCGCGGTGCTGCCGTCACTGTCGCCTGTATTTGCGGTGGCATTTGTGCGAAGGGCGTTTTTATCTTTCGCGGATTCTTCGCCGTTTTCCGCGGGGTGTTCATGCTGTTGGTGTTGTTGGACTTGTGTTTCATCACTTTGCTGCTGCTTTTCATTTTCTTCCTCTTCTTCTTCCTCTTCTTTTTTTTCCTGTCCTTTGTGTCCAGTGCCGGATGTCGTTCCTGTCGGTCCTTCGGGTGGCGAGGGGTTGTGAGCCGCTGCTGCAGCAGGCGTCTGATCTCCTGTTGAAGATTCTCCTGTTGTGTTAGATGGATTACTGCCTGAGGGCACCGCTTCACCGCTTCGGCCAGCTGAAGAATTAACACCAGGAACAGCAGGAGCACCAGGAGCACCAGAAGAAACGCCACCGGTGCCTTGACCGCCAGCAGAAGTTCCACTGCCTCCACCACCACCAGGAGAACCACCAGGAGAACCACCACCAGCAGCAGGAGGAGCAGGAGAAAGAGAAGGACCTCCAGCGCCAGCAGCAGGTCCACCAGCAGGAGAAGCACCAGAACCACTACCAGGAGAAGAACCAGAAGCCACGACACCAGCAGGACCAGAAGGAGAAACACTTTCGCCAGTCGAGGCTTCGACGGCAGTAATGGGCAGTACTGACCGCAAAGGCACCGTAATCGCAGTTTTATTACATCCGTCAGGCATGTGGGATCCATTCTCACCCAACACTCCCGACGCCATGCAGCCACCCAGTGCGTTGGTGTCAACGTCCCTCGCATAAACACCGCCGGCAACGCACCACAGCACGCAGAGGGCACACACCAGCAGCACACGGCCAGTCATCGTCATAGCCATCACTCCTGTCACTTGCGTGCAGACTTCAGCACAAACTAACCCCCGTCAACGCAAAAAGCAAAAGGAGAGAAAAGTCACGCAACCACGCACCGTCCCATCCAGCAATGAGAGTCACACACCACAACAACAACAATTGGGTGGGCGCGGCTCAACAACAATAAAAGCAAAAAAAGAGGGGCGCTCCTCGCCCGTGCACCGTTCCTCACACTCCCACAGTCACCACTACTGTTATTCCCTCTCTCCTCAGTCCCTCACAGGCACGCCACGCTCACTCCAACACGCGCCCCTCACAGCACAGGCAGTCCGTCATGCGTTCCCGCTGCGCCGCAACGTCGTGCCGCCTTCCACAATCATGAGCGCAACGCCCAACGCGTACTGGCGCACGTGCTCCATGCGCCGCAACCACACGCGGATCAGGTTGGCCGTCATGCACTGCATCTCGTTGTCCTCCTTCTGCTTGGAGCAGACCCTCACACCTTCTCAATCCACAGCCTGGGAACTGCGAGAGGCGGCCGAGTGGTGCCACGTGTCTGAAGATCCAAATGTACGGAAACAACGGCCACCCTCACTCCCTCACACATCTCCACTCCCTTCACTGTCCCACACACAAGGGCGGTGTCATGTGGAAGAGAAGTCCGCTGCACAGCACATGCATAAGGCATATGCAGAGAGAACGCCATCGGCGTCGCACCGCAGGATAGAGTCATGCGCACCGCACACACACGGCGGCAAAGAGAGGGACGGGCACATACAAGTAAATACCGCAGTTCTTTACTTCTCTCTTCAACGGCGGATTGGCGTCCCACACCCACAAATGAGGCACGGCGCACACAGTCCGCTCCCTCCGAGCACACTCAGCAGGCCGCCGCTCAGTCACCCTCCTGCCATCGCAAAGGGGAACAGAAACAATCGCCGTCGCGGACCATCGGTGCCACTGGCAGAAAAGAGGAAGTGGGGGCATTTCAACAGCGCAGCCAGCAGAGGTACAGTCAACGGGACAAGTAGACACACAGTGACAGCAGATACGGCAACTACAGAAACAAGCCGCGGGGATTTAAAAAAAAGAAAAGGGTGGGAGTCCGGGATAACTCCCAAAAATAAAACGAAAAATTAATGGAAAAATTGATGCGGCAGGACTTTTATTTCATGTGCCACGCAGCAAGAAGCGACCGTGTGTATATACACATTGCCCGCACCAGGAAAAGAAAAAGGGAAATTAAAATAAATAAAAGAGATTGCACTGTTCCACCAGCCCACACAACTCTCCTCACATTTCATGCGGCATCCGGCCTGTTCGTCCTAACCTCGTTTCGTGCAGTCCGTGGAACGCGCAGCCGCAGGGCCGGCACCGCGTGTGGGCAAAAACAAAAGCAAACAAGAGCGGGAAACACGTCGCTCATTACAGTGTGCAGCAGCCGAACATCACGCAAAGAAACAACAGTACTTACTGCTCCAGCTGAACTGCATTAAAAAGACATTTAAAAGTAAAAACATTAAAGAAATAAAAGATAAGTGAAAAAGGGTGGGCAGTGCGGCGCGTATTCTCCGTGAGGCGTCGCAGATCCGCACTCCGTGGCTCAGAAAGCTGCCACCACCCAAATACAACCCCAGTAGAAGCAGCAACACACAGGACACGCACACACGCACGGTGTTGTTAGCGCCTAAATCACGAAGTGTCAATTCCACGTCGTTGGGAGAGGCGAGGCGGTCGTCGGGACTCACGCCGCTCCACACCCTGCGAGGTGACTATTTGTAATGGGAATTCGTGTCCAGGGCGTGGTGCTCATTCATTTCTCTTCGGTAATATTCCCAGCAATGTGCTCCCTGACGCTGTCAAATACTCGAATCTTCTCGGGTGGTGTCGGAGCCGCTTCCCTCGTCGGAGCGGGGGCCCTGTCCTTGGGTGCACGCATCGCAGTGGAGTTCAGTGGGCGGCTGTACAGAAAGACGTCAGTCACCGTCACAGGGGATTAGTGCCCACAGCACGCGCCAAAGCAAAACCTCAGGACCTCAGGTGGCTTCTGACCTGTCAACGGCACCTCTTCCTATTCCGCCAGCAACTGACCGTCAATGTGCACAGAGGCCTTGTTGCCTTGCAGCATAAGTACCGCCTGGTACTCTTTCTTCGGCTCCCAAGTGCTCCTCCGTGTTGTTGTCGTGCCTTCGAACGCCGTCTCCCGCTTCTTATTGTGGCCGCACGACAGTCCCATGGTACGATTGGACGCGGTGTTCGCCAGCACCGCAGTCAGTGGAGGAGTGTTCCCACTCGGAGCCTCTTCGATGGCCACCGACGCCATAATTGTGAAGTGGTGGCTCAAGAATACATGACGCACGTTATCATCCCGAGTGTTCACGGGCCATATTGCCCTGGACTCAAGTCCCGTGAATCGGAACCCATCGTTGTCCTTCACTGCATTCGTCACCGCCGCATGCAGGCAACGGTACTCGTCGTTCCACGTGCCATCACTGGCCGCATCGGACAAAACTGCCACCAGACCCGCCGTGGGTATTGACACGCTGGAGAAGAAAGTGTCCTTTTGCACCCCAGCACTGAGGACAGACTTGATTGCATTCGCTTCCTCCGTCAGGCGGGAAAGTGAAATGACACGGCCCTCACCGTTGCCCCTCCGTTGTAAAAGATGCAAATCCCCGTCCGAGTGCAGCAGGGTGCTGGCGAGCTCCCAATTCACAGCACTGTCCATGACAACCGGCCCAACATAAAACGAGCGGTTGTTGTCCGTGACCCAAACGTAAAGCGGATTGGCCCTATTCTCCACCGAGGCGTACCCTCTCTGAGTGCACAGCATGACCTTCCTTCCTCAATGGCCGCGGTGATGAGGGCATCCACACGCAGGCTTTCTTTCTGAGAGTCTCCCGATCCTGCGTTGACCCACACGCCTGAAAGCTTTCCGATGGCTTCCGTCCACGCTGTCCCCATGTCACGCGACTCGTACACCCTCCGGCCATTCTCGCAGTCAACAATCATGGGAAGTGATCCCTCCCACTCGCTGACGCGGGGTCAAGGCATTCCGCAGGGGACATGCCCTCAGAGAGCGCCCAGTTACTGCCGTTGTCCGTCGAGTAAATGGTCATGGAGCAAACGTATTCTGCCTCATTCCTCGCCATCAGTGGAAACAGGAGGGTGCCATTCTCCATCACAACACCTGAGCCACCGGAAGCAATGAACTCCGTCCGTTCACCTTCGTGAGAAGCAGAAGAGATCCGTTTCGAGAGTGGTTTGGGGCCGCCCCATTCGATCCGTCCACTCTGCTTGCCACCCGTGGGATTCGTGACATCGCCCACAACCAGTTGCAGCTCCAAGCCGCCCTCTCTCCAACACCCACCTTCGTAGGACACATCCGAGCCTCCCGCAAGAAGAAACACTCCGTGGCCCTTCGTGACTGTTGTGGAGTGGTGCGCAACACCCAGACCCTCCTTTCCCTCCGCTGCACCAAGCACAGTTTGTGCCCTCCATGTATACTTTATTGGCCTCACCAACAAGAGTGGAAGAATTCTACGCAGGGTCAATGTACCCCGCAACAACATCGGAAGAAAAGGGCTTAGTTAATTGACCACCTTGATATTCGGCATCCAAATGTGACACTCAGCAAAAGCAGCAATTACTCCACCAGCACTGACGAGAAAGGGTAAAACAAATGAATCCCTCGTCGTACCTGGAACAACCTCATCCCTCGGCTGCAACACCTTCGTCTGTGAAAAAAATAGATCGAGCCTCTCCGGCTCCTGAAACACTTCTTAAATCATTCTTGCCATCATTCTCCTTTGCAGGCGTGGCTCCACAAGTACCGCAGCGCAACGTCAAAAAAAGAAAAAAGGAGGAGCAGCACCGCGGAAGTAAACACACGCCGCAACATGTTGGGCCTCGGCGGCTCACTCTCTCTTCTTTCCCTCCTCCTTCCGCTGGATCCGGTCACGCGGCAACGGTTGTGTGTGCGGGGTGCCATGACAGCAGCAACACGTGAGAGCATATAAATATGTGTTTGTGTGTGCTGTTGTTGGTCCTTCAGTGCCTTCCAACTTCACAGTATCGATTAGCGTTTGTTTTCCTTCCCAGTTTGAGTGTGTTTGCGCGCAGGAAATCAAATTAAAATTTAAAAAGCACCAAAACAGAGCGTGGCAGAAGAAAGGGTGGCGCCGCCATCCACAGTGTAACACACCAGCGTCGTCGTAACCGCTACAGTAATTACTCTCCCCGTCAACAACGGCTCAAGTACTGTGGGGCCGCAGGCAGAAGCAGAGACACTGACGTTTGCGCACGGGCCAATACACCCTCCGGCAAACGGCACCAACCAACAGACAGCCAGCAGAAAGTAAGTGCAAGAAAAATCCCAAGTGCTGCGGGATCCTTGCAAGCAGCGCTCCCTCACTGCAGGGCCTCTATTAAAGCGTTCCCCGCCGCAACATCCCCGCAACCCGCTCGGCGTGTCGGTGGATGTTCCCGTTCACCGGAACAAAAACAGCGGGATGCTCCGGCAGGGATCGAAGACACACAGAGCGCACCGTCGACGCGACCAACGGGCGTAGGCTCTCGTGAAGTGATATCCCACAACCGTGATCCCTCCATTGACTCTCCTGGACGTGAAGGAGGCATGAAATGTCCTCTTCTCTACAGTAGTCCCGAAACGCAAAAAGTACCGCAGGACATCCCGCGCAGCCACGGCCTCCTCAGCAGCCCGACAGTCCACGCCGTCGCACCGCTCCTCAAGAGGTCGCCAGGCCCGGTAAAGCAAGCAAAAGGGGACCAGCAATTCGGTCAGGGCGTTCAGCAAAATAAGGCACAGCAGTCGGGTAGGCGCGGCCCATCCACGTCCTCCCCCTCAACCGACCCACCACACAGTCGGATCACACACCCAAAAAGAGCAGTGGCGCCCAAAAAATAACACGGACACTAACGCCTCGTGCTCTCCTCAATGTAGTTTCACGGCACATCCGAGGCATCACAAGAAGAGACAAATACTTACATTCCGTCGGCATAAGCA